ACATAAGGGCAGACTGTAAATGTGCCAAGCGTCATTGTTATTGCGCGATGTTTTGGTTCAAATACTATCTTTCAAAAACTCAAAAATCATCATATAACTTGTGCACATACTTGTGCACATAATTTTATTATATCAATATATAGTCTTCAATACATCGTTATCGTATTGTTATCGTATTGTTACCGCATTGTTATGTATCGTTTTCAAAATAACGAGACGCAGATTCTTATGTAACAAAATTAATTTTTAATAATTCCGTGTATTTTCATTAAACAAATTTATTAGATCAAACTGTTCAGCCGATTTGACATGATTGAGTCCGCCTGTTAGATACGCTTCATCGTAGCCAAAATCGTATCGTTTCCAAAAATTAACAAGACGCAGATGCTTATATAATAAAATTAAATTTTCAACTATTCCGTGTAATATTATTAAACGAAAATATATTAGTTCAAACTGTTCAGCCAATTTGACAATATTGGTTCCGCCTGTTAGATACACCAAAACCGTCGCAAACATTACCTTCGTTTAATCGTCGCTGAGTTAAAACCGTCGCGAACATTACCTTCGTTGAATTGTCAGTGTACGGAACTGAGCTAATAAATAATTAGGAATGATATAATACCGTAATATCGAAAAATAATCTGGAAGTAGGAGATTCGTTTTTTTTAGTTTATACGTTGAATTGTTTTAATTTTAATATATCTATTGTATTGTTTTATTCTAAACTCTCTTTTACTTTTAGTTTTACTATTCCATCTATTAATTAATCATCTTGCACAAAAAAATGCATGAAAAAGCTTTTTCTAGATCCACAAAACACATGTACAATCTTCGTTTCTTCTTTCTATAATCCTCCTGCAACATTCTCACTATGAACAACTCATCCACCGTTCCCCTACCAGGCATAAATCCACACTGCATTTTATTAACTGTCACCATATTTCTCAACCTCCTCTCAAGCACCCTCTCCACTACCTTCATTCCATGCTCTTGCAATTTCACACCTCTATATGACCCACAATCTCACATCTCCTTTGCCCTTATACAACAGCACCTACACACTGTGTCGCCAATCCTCAGGTTTACTTTCATCATCAAACATGCTGTTAGCAATTCTCATCATAACTTCAATATCAATTCAATTCCTATCACTCCACTCGCCTTTATATGTTCCGCCGCCACTTTCAAAACCCCTGTCGCCTTACCTAGTTTCATTTCTCTAACTGCTTTCTCTACTTCCTCCATCGTCATCTTCTCTATGGGGTTTCTACAAATATTTCTTCTCATTGCACTTTTTCTTATAGCAAACTGTTTCATGGCTTTCTGTATATCCTGTGCTTTGCAATCCAGCCATTCCAAAGTGTGATTTGCTTTAGCTCTAACTTTAGAGTTTAGAAAACCTGTGATGATAATAGGTGTTTTACAAATAAAATAACCTGTCATACCAAGCATTCTTTCAGCATTCATAATGTGAGTAGGTGCTGAAAAAGAGTCCAGTTTCATTTGAGAACTAGAATTTGAAAGAGCTTTGGTAAGATAACTGCTCATCTGTCTTTCAACAACATGTAATGCCACCTGTGACATTAAAAAATTAGTTACTGGCATATATTTTATATTGTGCAGTGTGTGCTGACCACAAGGCTACCTGAACAAAGGAAAAGAAAATGGAAATTAGAAGCTTGTTATCCTATCTAGAAGTGATCAGTGACTGAAAAATTTCATTCTCTTTCATGCTTCCTCCAAATACATAACATTTAACTGATTAAATATTTTGAGGATCTTGTTGCATTTTTTTCAAGTTTTCAACTGCTAATTTGAATGCAGGAACCTTTATGTAATAATAATAGATTGTGGTTTTGAGAGAAATAAAACATATATCATGTACATCATTTAGTTTTACAAATTCAAGGTTTGAACTTTTCTGGACATTTCCATATATTGCTGACATCCATGGTCCAGTCATAAATTTTCTGAATAAGCCTAGAGTTTGAAGCTGCATCATTACTTCAGTTTTATTTATGTTTTCCCATAATGATTTGGTCAAATCACTTTTTTTGTTACTAAATATAAAAAGTATTCAATATGCTATTGTCTAAAGTTTATTCATGCACATTCAAAATTACAAGTAAACAGGTTGACCTTTCAGGGATGAACGAAGCAGATGTTCACCACCCAAATGAAATATGACATGAAACATGTTGCCTACATACTTCAAAAACGTACTTGTTGCAACATTTGTTGCTCTTAAAAATGCTTCAAACACACAAGGATCCCCCTTTTGACTGAATCTGTAATAATTTTTTTAATTTTAAAGAAATTAAACGGTAAATAAAACCATTAAAAAAATTACTGAAGTTTAAAGAGACCATGCGAGAATGATACAGCTTAGCCAAAAATTTTTGTCAAACACAGTTTCTTGTCATATTCCATCAAACATTTCTTACTTTCAGTTGCAACCGTTTCTAAAGGATGAACATTACAATACAATTGTAACAAATCAATTTCTATTTCATCTTTTAACAGTTGATAGACACGATTATTTAATGTTGCGCGATCAGTCAGATAGCATTGGAATATGCTAAGAAAATGACTCTTTCCATGCGGACCCTGCATTGCATTAAAAGCAGAGTATTTGTCAACAACACTTTTAATGCATTTGCAAGTTACCAAATGCTGTTGCATTTGGTAACTTTGCTACTGAAACTGTATAACAAACTTGCATTGGAGAGAGGCAGAAGTGAATCTCCACTAAATGTTTCCCAGCAGCAGGAGGTGACAAAGTAGCAGAGGTACTACTATACAGTAATTCACCAATCTGTAACTCAGCGAGAACACCAAGCTCATAAGCCATTCTTGCTATATTGTAAGGATGCTAAACATTGGTCAATGGCAATCCATGAACGGTTGTGCTAAAATATTGCAAATGATGCCCAATGCTTTTAACTGGAATATTTTGCAAAAGTGTGCTATGCACTACATTTCTTAACAATGTATTGTAAACATTTCCAACTATAGGTTCGACTTGTTTCGAACTTTCTTCATCTTGTTCCAAAATCAAAGTTTTCAAATGCTGAACTTCTTTAATCAAGTCATTGCTATTTGTTTGAGCATTGTTTAGCTCCTTTTTCTATGATTCAATTTAATCAATTTGTTTTTTATTTCAGATTTATAATTTTCCACTAATGTGTTTTTATGTTTTATTATTTGAGCTCTGCTCAATTTAATATTTTTTAATTTTTTATGTAAATAACTATTAAAAAAATTAGCCTGCCCTTTTTTCTTTCCTGATAGAATTTTGTTTTCCATGAGTTAACTGATGACTTTCCCCTGGATGCCAAACGCCTTAAAACATCATTCTGTGCTTTCAAACTGGCAATCTTCTGTTTGGAACCTATCTTCACACCTGAAATAACCTTTCTATATTTTCTAATTTAAGTATTTTTTATATAACAATTTTTGTAATGTTTTGTGATTGTTTGATTGATTTTATTTGACGGTTCAATTGTCTGAATATGAAATGGGCTTTTCACATATTCAACATCTAAAATCAAATTAAGCAGGTGTACTCATTCTCACTTCTTACCTCAACTCATGTTAAACACTTATGCTAAATCGGGTTTGTTTTTTCTGGCCCTCTTCTCTGGAACTCTCTACCTCCTTCTCTAACTACTTCTCCATCACTTACGAAGTTCAGAGCAAATCTCAGGACCCATCTGTGCAGAAAATTCACTGAGGAGTGCTGTTGAACGTTGCGGAAAAGGTGTTTTACAAACTAATTGGTTGATTGATTGATTAATTTATTGTATATAAAAAGTTTTTTTATTTTCATAAGTTTTAAATAATCAGCTCAAATCTTTTTTACGACCAATCTCTTACTCAAAGTAAATGGTTCTTGGCTTCAATATAGACCAATTTATTGTTAAAAAAAAATTTGTTAAAACCTTATTATACTTATCATTCTATTTAGAATATAATTAATAGAGTGCTGTTGTTGAAGGAGGTTGTCCATGGCAAATTTATAGTTTTTTATGATTTATTTAATTCTAAAAGTACATGTGCGTATGCATATTTACTTAAATATGTATATATGTATTTTGGGTTCAGACTGTCATATATACAGTTATTAAAAAATACCGCATTTTCTGCATTGTTGAGTTTGTAACTAAGTTTTACAATTTTTCGAACAATTATTTTTGATATATATATATTAATTATATATATGTATGTATATGTGTGCATGTATTTATTTTATTAGTAGTATAATTTTGCAAACATCTTTTTGCCGTGTTGCACATCTGCTTGTATTCGTTCTCTAAACTTATTATAATATATGTCCTTTACAACAAAACATTATTCAGTTATTTTCTGTTGTTTTTTAAAAATCATTTTAAAATGTTTTAGATATAAATATTCAATTTCATTTACTGAAGTTCACATTGTAGAAAAACTTTTTGCGGCATGATGGCTTAGTGGTTAAAGACGCCTGATCCTGCTGTTGTAGTGACTGGGTTCGAATACAAGGAGATCCCCGCCCATCATATGCAATGTGTTTGATTCCTGGTTTTCATGCTTATTCATATACGCTGTGTGTGTTTGTCGTTGATACCTATGATGCAAGTGCACAAGAGAGATTGACCTTAAACCTCTTTATAATATACGTCAGTTTTTATTGTGCTATCAGCAATAATGAGTGATGATATCATCTATTTTCTAAATGTTAAAAAAAATTAAAGCATGGTACATATCAATCATTAAGTTGAACTTCCATAATACCGAAAAGATGTTTCAATGTTTGCAATGATTCTTTCACTTTTTTTACTTTCATTGTGCTATACAATTTAAACTTTAAATTAAAATTTATACTTTAACTTACAACAATTTAAACTTAAATTTAAACTTCTAACTTAAGTATATTTGAAGCAGAATGCTGTAATACTGGAAAAATTTGTGAGCAGTGCCATTGTCAGTGCTTCGTATTGCACGGCACAACAGTCCACATGACAGGCTTAAGTGCAGATGAATTCCAACTAAAGCTTTGTGAAAATTTGAAACATCAGGGTTTTGTAAATGACTTGAAAGTATGTGTTAGACTTTTTTAATTGCAATAAATGACGTTGTTATGTAATACTTTTTTGTTTTAACATAATAACAAAACTAAAAATCTAAATGTTTTGCAGAGTCAAATGAGAAATCGACTGATAAATGAATTGATTCAGCATTCTAGTTTCAAATTATTTGAAAATAAAAGTAAATATTCATCGCCAAACAGTCAAGTAGTTACAGAAAAGTTTGTGAACAGTGCTATTATTAGCTATCTAAAAAGATATGGTTATGAATATACTCTGAGTATATTCTTGCCTGAATGCGGTCTTAACAGTGAAAATGTATGCTCACATATTTTCTTTGATTACCTGATAAGTAATTACATTCCAACTTGAAAAAACATGAATTGCTTAATTTACTGGCTGGATAAAAAATATAAATGATTTATAAAATTAAATAAAATTAAATAATTATTTTAAATCCTAAAAAGATAATATCAGAAAAGGATTTGTTGGACCATTTGATGGTAAAAACAAGTTCTGGAAATTCATTTATAATTCATTCATCTGGAAGTGTTCTCGAAAGACTGTTCGGAAAATCAGAGTTGTCAATTTTATCATCTGTTCAAAAAAGAAATGATGATGCAGATTCAAAAAACATATTTTCAAGTGAGTTAATTAAATTGCATTTATTCTTAAGGAATTTCTTTTGTATATTATTTACTCAATTGTATTTAACATGAAACCAGGAGTAAGAAAGGACAATGTGGATACTCTTAATTTTAACACTACTTTAAATGAAACGGATGAAAATGTTGATTGTTTGCTGAACTCTGAAAAGTCTCGTCAATACAGTTACAAAGAGAGGCAGCAAGCTGAAGTTGATTTACAAGTAAATGTTGTTCAAACTGCAGTAGAAGTTGGTTAATTGGATTATATTGGGCTTTGGCCAAAGTAGTTCAATTCAGCCGCTGATCTCACAAACCGATGTTGTTATTTTAAAATTAAAGCATGTTATTTTGAAGCAAAAATTTAGAACGCAAATGTTATCGCTTAGGAAACAATTTTAGGTTGAGTAAATGTTCCAAGATATTTTAGTGATTTTTGTTTTTTTTAAAACTTAGTGCAACTGAATATTTGCAATAAATAAAGTACGTTCAAATATATGCCAAATCAACTTTTAAAATATTTTAACCGCTTTGTTCAAATGGATCATTTTTCCATAAATAAATTTAAATTACGGTTCACATTTTTATGACAGAATTCAAACATTTCACCCACACTTTGACAATGTACATCTGTCATAACAAAATGTTACCATTCATAAATAGATAAGATGGGATGTATTCAATGAATGTAAGTCAGACTAGATAAAAAATACTTGCATCTTCTTACTGGCAAGTGAAATTTTCGTGACCGTCAAGATTGCAGTCCAATAAAGTGACTACTTGGTCTGATTTAAGGAACTAAGTACAGATTGCAAAATAAGATTTTGTTCTGTTCTTGGAGATTTTGTCTGTATGAGCAGTTAACTACTTTAACAAATTGTCCAATTAATTGACTCTACGGTTCATAATTTATTTGATACTTTTGTGAAGATATTTTTTATTCTTGCAGGTTATGAGGTTCAAGAATACGGAAGTAGAAAACATTAAATTGGAGGAAAAGATTAAATGTGGCGTTGAATTAGAGAAATTCAAAAGAGAGGTGAAATTGTACTTCAAATAATTTAACGATTAATGTGGTGGGCAAGGTTTATAACGTCGAAGCATGGCTATCGGTGATGCCGAAGCTACGTCAGCTCCAAATACCGCTGCCTATATTATGAAAATTTGCTACGTTCGCGATAATGTCGGTAGCAAATCTTTTTTACTTCGTACGCGGCAACTATCGTTGCCTGTGGGGTGGAAATTTAATGAGTCCACGGCAAAATACGGCGACATGATTTTTTAATTACTCATCAATCGATGGCAATTATCACTGCATAGCATACAGTATAAACTACTAGTGCCCTGGTTCGACGTAATCAAACTGGAAAACAAATTTAACTGCGAGTTCTAAAATTTATAATTAATTTTTTAGCTATCACCAGCTTCTTAAGCTAGCAGTGATTTATATACCTTTCGTGAAAAATTTCATGATGATAAAATTTATTGTTATATCAGATTGAACTAATATATCAAAAAAAGTTGGAAACATTGAAAAAGAAGGAATGTGACGTTGATGAAAAAGTAAAACATCTTCATGCGGTGAGTTTCTATAGCAATATGATTATGGTGAAAATAATTATAATAGTTATGATGAAGATTATTTAGTTTTAAATTTGAAAATAATGTTATTAAAAATTGATTATTGCATTTTAATTGTGAAAAATTCAAAGAATTTTGAAAAAGAGACAATGATGAAACGCCAAAACATATTATTAGAATTGGAAAAGTTGAAACACAAAGAAAATGCTTTGGCTCAAAAAGAGGAATGGTTAAAGACGTTAGTGAAGATGTAATAACTTTGATTATATAGTGATTAACAGGAAGCTAACTAACGCGGAACATGCTGTGATTTTCATCAATAATTGCATATATATATATATACAATTGTTGAGAAATATCACTGCATTTTCATCTTCTTTGATCTAAGCTGATCAAATAAGATGTGTGTAGTTTGTGTGTGTGTGTGGGTGTGTGTATGTGTGTGTGTGACCATTTTTTTAAAGAGCAATGTATAAATTCTACCGAATTGTTGGCCAATAATTTTACTGAATGGCTGGCATTAATCAATTTAAAGTTTGTCTTTCCAATTTTTTTTACTAAAATTTTTAGAAAATTGTTCAATTTATTTAAAATAAAATTATTATCCAAGTTCATCAGGCAAATTTATTCAAAATAAAATGTTTCTCATCCAACTTCATAAAGCAGAAAGGCCTTATTTCGCTTTTGCACTAAGATGATTTGGGATATAGTTCAAGTCATTTTGTTCTATTGTCAGCAATATTCATCTCACTTATAATTTTTAAAAGGGAAAATGACATGTTGATGAAAAAAAAGATTAAATTTGAAAGCTATGTTCAACAAGAAAATGAGAATATTTATGATTGTAGAAAAAAAATAGAAGAAAAGGTTACAGAAATGGTTGATCTTAGATGGCAAGTTTTTGAAAAAGATGTTGAAATAAAGAAAAAAGAAATAAATGATATAAAAATTGATCTTAATGGTTTGTTTGATTTTTTTTTCATATTTTTTAGCTTCAGTTTTTTTTAATTCGTCCGTTTAAGTCTCAATTTCGAAAGTTATAAATTTAATTTTTTATTATAACAATTTTTTAACATTAATTATCTACAAAAAATTTTTTTACAACTTTCAATTTTTGTAAATTGTATGACAATTAGTTTTTTAAATTCTTTTTTCCATCTTCAGTCATCTTGTTTTTCCACCATATGTTTAGTGTTCCACATTGTGAAAACTTTTTTCCGACAAATGCTCGAGAGGGCGTGTCTTATTGACGTCCATCTTTTCTTTTTCTGCTTTTCTTTCAGCCACATCGTTTTGCATTTTTTCGATTAACTTATTTCCATATATGTCCTTTTAATTTCGTCGGATTCTTACCGTTTATATTTTCCTAGAGTTAGCATCATCGCATAAACACGTGCGTGCAAACTCTTATATACTATCTAATTTTTTTGATCCGACAATTGAAACAATCTGTGTGACGACTTGAAAGATTACTCACACATTTTCGCATTTATTTATATTAAACGATTATCGAAATCAAAACCAATCTTTAAAAAAACACGGTTGATCCATCGAACACAAACACAACACAACGATCTCGTACAAAGGAATGAAGGAATGCAAAGAAGCCAAAGTTCAATAATGAATAGAAAATTAATTTTAACAAAGATTTTAAATATAAACCTACTGATCCTTAAAAACTTACAATTATCGCAATCAATTGTTTTCAGCCATATCCTTTCATATTTTCGCATAACTTTCAACCGATTTTTGACAACAACAAGCATGTGATCACGAGTTTATGCCACCCTCGTTTCAATGATACAGAAGATATCGAGAGCGGATGGATTTCCGACTTTGCCATGATGTCGTTTTAGAATCAACATTACATGGAATAACTAAAAAATGTTCGATATTGATATCTCCACAACTTTTATCATGCTCACTTCTATCCTCATGTGCTTTTCGACCTCCTTCTTTTTCGTGTTAGTTGGCTACTTTTGTCCATTTTTTTACAATGGTAAATTCCTTAAGCAATTTATTGCCAAGACTTTTCAAACTGATCTGTTGTTTTGCTATTTTTTATAGGCTTTTGCTTTAACCTAAAAATTTGTCAGTTTCAAAAAATTGAAATTATAAATTAAATTAACCGAAAATTAAAACTTGCAATTGTTACTTTTTATTAATTAAGCTAGAGAGAAGAAAATGGACAATGTATTGAAAAGTTACGAGGAAGCGAAGAGGCAGTTGACTATCAAGAATAATGAAATTTCATCACTGAAAGTTAATATTTCATTAAAAAAAATTAATTGGGTTTTAAATTATTATTTCTGAACTTTTGAAAACTCGAGTGAAATACATCAGTATATTAAGTAAGGATGAGAAAAAGAATCATAAACATGCATTTATTACACTATTTATTTAAAATAACTTCAACTGTGAATTGACTTCATAAGCCCTTTTTTGTCTGGCTTTGTGGTCTCAGAACATGTTTACCGAAAACTTGATGGTAAATTCCCATAATGTCCAACCCAGACTAAATTTTATGAAAGTGGAGATTTTAAAATATAGAGGAACAAGAGCTCTGGCCATAATAGTTAGACGGCTTTGAATCTCTCAGCTTGCATTCAACCGTGCAAGGCATTGAACAATTTTCCTACTGAAGTAAGTTGTAACGTAACCAGCTGAATGATCGTACATGAAATGAAAAGTGCCGAAAGAGGAAAATTATTAAATTGGAAGATGTAGAGAGATGACGAACCTGCCTGGTTGAGCAAGTTGAATTCAATAAATCTGTCAAAATTATTGTACGAGACTAACTAAATCAATCGTCTTATCAATAATGCAATTGTTGTTAAAAATAAGTTGCGTAATAAAACTTATGTATTGAACAACAGCAACAACAATAATAATAATAACAGATTGACTTAAAAGCTGCAGAAAGTAATCTTCAAAATGCAGAGAAACAAATAAGTGAATATCAAAATTATGTAAGTGTTCATTCTGTTGTTTCATGTGAGCAGCTTCATTTTCTTTACTTTTCCATTCGTCGTCATCAGAACAAAGAAAATCAGCAGCTTCAGTTAAAAAATGTCAAATTGAAATCTCAGTTGGAGGATGTTAAGAGTCACTTGTTGGATGTTTTAAAAGAAACTTCACTTCACAAACAAGGTACTTTAACAAATAAGATTCAATTTTTGCACAGGGATAACTGTATTGCTTAATTTAACACATTTATTTCTTGAACCAAAACTCGAAAAAATCTTAAACATTCAACACAATAATATTATATTATTTTTCACACAATCTTCAATGTCTGTAACAGCAGAAATCTGATTAATTTAACAAAATGTTATTTAGACTATAATAGCGACAACAACAACATCATCAACAACGCCAACATCATCATCAACAACAACATCAACAACAACAACAAACAGGAACAATGGAACAAACAAGTCAACTGGAAAAACAGCTGAAGACACGAGAAGATGAGAGACTTGCCTTGGAGAGCCAGCTGCAACAATTGCACAGCTCACTTCTCATGCAACAGCAGCTCAATGAGGATCAGAAGTTAATTTTTGAGGGCAAAATACGACAATTGGTTTGTGCTAATGATGTTCATTGGCTTGAATTCGATAACCGAGTTTTGTTGCACATAGGTAGCAAGGAATGAAGAGCTTCTTGCAAGATTAACTGTATCTGACAACAAAATTAGACAACGTGTGCTCAGAAGTACTTGCATTATTATTGTTATTATTATTATTATCTTTATAACTTTTCAAAAAATTTTTCAGCTGGTGCGAAAGAAGTGAAAGAAAAAGTTATATCCCAAAAAAATGATGGAGGGACAGGCGATTATGACAATGATGATGATGATGGTGATGATGATATTAACCAGGCCAAGTTGAGACTGAAACATTTAAATCTCGAGTCACAGGTAAAGCTTGATAATGACGACGATGATGATAAAGATGATGATGATGACAATGGTGATGATGATGACAATGATGATGACAATGATGATGACAAACAAAACTAAAGATTTCATTTTTTCAGAAACTTGAAAAAAATATGAACAAATTGTTATACACGTGTCCACAAGCTAATGACTTTCATGACTGCTCGGACGCAAGCAATCGTGGCAACCTTCATTTCAATAATTACCTCAATCGAAATCAGTCATTTGGAATAACAAGCTCCGTTGCAGTATCGATCACGCGGGCGAATTCAGTAGCAACTGCGTCAGACCTGTTGAATGACAAATTAAGCCATCCACACTGGAATGACCTTGTTGCCCGCACCACCAACAACGTACACGATGATGATGGCAGTAGAGGAAGTATTATCGGCAAAATAATCAATAGTTATGGTTATAAAGCTGATAATTCAGAAAACTTATTAAAGGTTAAAAATGACATTGCAGTAATATCAAGTGAGGATTTTAATTGGAAGAAAACTGGAGATTGTTATTACGAAGCAGCAATCTGCAAACCCTCCGACGACCTCTTGCAACTGACAAGTGGAGCTTCCTTACCTCCAACACCATATCACCTCACAACCGCACGACCACTTCAAACGCCAACAGCATCCATTCCTGTAGAACTTCACTCTTCACTTACCTTACCGAACTACGGGGCTTCTGAGCGGTCGGTTGAAAATTGGAAGCAGAATGTCACCAGCCAAATGAAATATAATGACTTTAGTGTTGATGATAATGATGTTCGGAATTTTGATAGCCAATTTGAACTTCTCACGAAAAATACGGCTTTAATTAACACTGCAGCCACTGTTTTCTATGACACTACTGCCACGTTATTCAACATTATTACCACTAATGCTACTACAACTTCCAGTATCTTTACTAATGCTAGTATCTCTACTAGTGCTACTACAACTTCTAGTATCTTTACTAATGCTAGTATCTCTACAAATGCTACTACAACTTCCAGTATCTCAACTTCTGCTACTTTTCTTACAACTTCTATCGCTCCGTTCGTTACTTCTAGCATATTGGTTGACACGACATCATCGCAAATATCAACAGCGTTAACAAAAGCTTCATCAGTGTCCACGCCGACCACGGCTGCAACATTTGCAGTGACGACAACAGCAACAACACCAGCAGTTCTTAAGGCGAACAATGAGTTGGATCGCTACCTACTCTTAATGAAGTCCGTTTCTGTTGAAAAAACAGATGAAAAGAATGAGGTAGAGATGCTTCAAAAGATTCATCTGCTTTTAATTATGTTGTTAGCATATCGCACCTAAATAACGTAACATGTGTGACGAATAATTGACATCGAAACGATTTTTTTTATTTTAATTTCTTCATTATTTTGAAATGGCCTATTGGTTAAATTTCAGACTTCGTCTACATATTCGTCATCGTCAGCAACATCCAGTTCATCCGAGAGAAAAGACGTCAATTGTATGCTCACACAAAGTAAAAGAACGAACGACGATAATGATTTGAAGCGAGTATAAAATACATTTTATATACAATTAATAATTTAATTTAAAAAAAAATTAATTCTTATTGTTTTTGAATGTTTTCTACATTTTCAGAGAATGGTGATAGTAAGATGGCGAATGACTTGTGCGGGCACTGAACATTCATTTACTAATTTTACCTTTCAAAATTTTAATACGTTTTATTGTTAGCATTGCGCGACTAAATAACGTAACATGTGACGAATCATTGACAATGTAACGTTTTTTTAATTTCAATTTTGTTATTATTTTGAAATTTTTTATTTTATTGGTTAAATTTCAGGTTATTACGATTATTATGAATAATTAGTACAATTGTTATCATTAGCTATTTAATTTTTTTATTATTAACCTATTGTTGTTCTTTTCGCAAAATCCTAGTTGTTTATGGCTGGATGAAAAATATCGATATCATTTTTCTTGCTGCATCGCAAATATTCAAATTTCACAGCTTCTGTTGCAGCTTCTTTATTTTGTAATGTAAAGGTTTCTTTTAAAGTGATGTTTACATATTTCATTTAAAATCTTTTTAAATGTTGAATATAAGAGTTAAGCCAAGTGCTTGTATTATAAAAATCGAAAAATGCTCTGTATTTTTAATCAATTGATAATAAGGCAATTTATAAAACGCCAGTTAGACGATTGCTTCTGAGGCGCCGGAGTCTGCACCCGCGAATAAATGTGCTTTCAGAATATACCTGATTTATCTTGTTTAGATGCAAGTAATTTTGCAGAAATTTGGAAAGATTGCCTAGCGACGTATTGCAACACAAGTGGGTTGCTCAAAAAATTGATTATACTGTAACAAAATAACAGCTTCAAACTGAGTTATTGGACTTTGCAAGGAAGTTGGAGAATTTTCAAGCAATTCTTAAGGATGGGTGTAATTGGATTTTTGAAATAAAAGTATCGGACTCAGTCCAGGACGACATTTAAGAATCTGAATCAGATATACACAGTTCAACACAATCCCGTCATTTGAAAACAGCAAGGCAACAATCACAGATCATAATGCAAATCTATTAAAAAATATATTTTGTGTTGATATTTTGTTCTTCAAAAAACGATTCTCCGACCTCTAAATTTTTGTTTTCGATATGAGCAACGAGCACATCTAATAATCTGGCTTTATTTGTCTCGGTGAGATGTAGCAGATGATTATTCAAATATTATCCCATAATAGTTTTCAGCTCTACGGTATTTCCCAATAAAGAAATAAATTCATTTAGAACTGATTTAAAATAAATTTTTTAACTAAGTATATTATATTACTACATATTATGTGTAAATAGATATAGAAATAAAAAATGAAAGCACAAATTCTTATCTATACACTTATTAATAAAATTATTTATTTAAAAATATGTGTATATCGACTTTTCGGAGGCCCCTCTTAATCGGAAGTCCGCTCCCCGTAACCCTCGTTACGCTAGTGCTCCATTTACATCTTTCGTGCACCGATATACATTCTGTTGACTAAAGGCTGAGCCCTGGAGATACAAAATAAAACTTGAAAATAAAATCGATGCCGCCAATCTCACCAACTGAACTATCTATATTAAATTAAATTATTTAATAATTTTAATTCATGCTATGTTTTTCATATATTGTAAATCAAGTATTTTTTAACGACAGTCCGTTGAATGATTATTCCGCTTAGGCAAATAAGTTAGATTAAGACTTGTGCAATAATGTGATAAAATTTAAAAATTATTCTATATTTCAACAGTAACCAGTGCAGGAAACAAGATATGGAGGTATATGAAAAAAATATGAACACGAGGAACTAAACGAGCGTCTGCGTCAAAAAATTATTAACATTTATTCCTATTTGTCATATATAAAACCAATAAATTCAATATTTGGATAAAAGAATCATCTCACAAAAGAAAAAAAAACAATAGGTCGGTCGGTGTATGACAAAATTTTCTGATAGACATTTGTAAAAGAAAAAGGTATGCATTTTTAAAATGAAGTTGCCCTATCGTATCTATCCAATTGCACGCTCCACAGAAAGCAAGAGAAGCAATAAACCAAGCGATTCAGTCGCAAAGGTTGCACTCGATATGATACTCAACGATATCTTTACAATTTTGTTGAATCATAAATGTTTCAAATTCACTATTCACGCATTAACGCAATCGTTGAGCAGCTTCCGGCGTGCTCTTCTACTCTTGCAATTCACAGTTTTAATATTTCAATAATATTTCTTTTGTGTAGGTCTGTGGTGTTGTAAGCCCATCCACTAATATTATAACAACCTGTGTTTGTTCTTTTTTTATTTCGAGTATAAATTATTTTTAAAAGAAACATTTTTTGTTGCATTATTGATGCCGATGTTTACAAATGAAGCAGTGATTGATGTTGTCGTTCAAATTAATGGCTGGCGGATTATAAATCTCTCTCACTCTCTCTCATTTCACCTTTTTTCTGGTAACCAGATTTTTAGCATTCCGGAAGAGCTTGTTTGTGACTTAATATCAAAGATATTTCCATGCGAAAACATTATTTCTTATGTTTTTCTGTAAAATGCGTAATTACTTTTGGAAAGGGCATGCAATGTGCTTGGCAATCGATAAATTGATGAGGTCCAACAGTTTTTTGTTAGAGCACATAACATCACTGGTCTTCAGGTTATGCAATCAACTAACGAGATTATTCAACAAATTCCTTCCTCGTTTTAAAATTCAACGTATTCTAAACATGAGAAAATTAAAATTTTGAATTTTGGTGAAACTTGAAAAATTGTTTTTATTTATATTATTACTTAACTACATATTTAAAAGTTTTTAACAAGCACCTTTCATAAAATTTCATTCAAAGTTTAATTGTGACAAAACTATCAGTAGTTCGTTTTTTATACAATTATAGTTTGTTGCTAGCTTCAACCTTTGTTTAGAAGAAATTAAATGCGGTTTTTGTTGATTTGCTCGAAGATACCTGAATGAAAATGGATAATGCTTGCTGCTTACTTCAGAAAAAATTTAGCAATTTCGCAGAATAACTTTTGTACTGTTAAATAGATGTAAGTGGTACATGAAGATAGATCTCGAGAACGTCTAGCGTCAACATTCATTGATACATAATTCCTGATAGAACAAAACTGAAGTTAATATTTTTAAAGAATGTTCTGGTAGGTGAATGCATTGAGATGCATGCGAACGTCGAAATAATGCACAATTCTGATGAATGATAGTATAATAAGCAATTTGACTCTTTCCTGCATGCTCAATCGCTGGTCTTTCATTAATATTCTTTTTTCAATACAACGCTATCTCGTACAGAAATGTAGGATTTTATTAATTCGATAATAAAGTATGCGCGAAGCACAGAATTTATTTGCAATGTACAGTAACTTTATTGGGCATAATCCTATGACAGTGCCTACCATTCAATTGAAAACACGTTATTTACACGTAAATAAATTTTATATAAAAGATTTGATAGGGTTTGGTTAGGGTTTCTTTATTTTTAGATTAAAATTTATATTTTTAAAAGTATTTTCACGTTTTTTAATCATGTGCAGTGTGCACTCTCTCATTCATACTTACTCTCGCGTTGCGGGCACTGTTCTAGTATTTTGCCCTTTATTGTAATCAAGTTTCTAGTTTCTTCGTTTATAGCCGGTTCTCGGTTTATGCTGGTTACTCAAGCATAATTTGCATCAACATTTTTTTTCAATTTTTATACCAGTTTTCGCAGACTTATTTCGGAATAATATTTTGTACAGTATGAATATATGTAACTATATAATTGAAATCATGAAAGTTGAGACGGAACGAAGCTATTACATGATTGGGCAGCATGGCACAACGCAGAAGCACGACTTCGAATCGTGTCCACGCACTGCAGGGCAAGCACAATTATGCAAGTCAGTTCATACAAGCGGAGTTTGAAAAGATGTCTGTTGACAAGATTTATATCTTTTTATGAAACGTTTCAATAGCCCCTTGTTCAGCTCAAGAATCTTTCAATTTATCAATGAAATAATACGAAGCGTGGAACCCGGTGGTGGTTATGCTATTTATAACTTCCAAGTATGCACTGTTGTACTTGTTTTACAGAAACGTATTTCCAACCGACCTATGCAAAATCAATGTTAAATGTTCACAACTATTCAAACATTTATCAAATTGGAACGGCTTTTCCGTTTCATCGTTATTCAAATTTTGTTGGTTAAAATTATGTTGCGTTGGTTGTTTTACAAAGTCAACTGTATAAAGTCAGCTTCTTAGTTTTTATCGAGTAAATATATTTCACTATTTGGCCGTCCTGTTTCATTTGATTCGCAGAAAAGGCGTTGTTGGATGTAACTAACCACCTGGACGGACTGAAAAATGTTGTTGAAATATTGGTCTAGTTTAAAAATATAAGAAGCGAAAGTAACAGTGAAATATAAACACTTACTATTTATATTTGATTTTGCACGTACCTTACAATTAATCATTTCAGTATTGCTTTTTTATTCTTTCTTCTTTCAATCTTACAATGTTGTTTTATACTTTCAATTCAACTTTTGTGCCACTAAACATACGAACTGCGGCGGGTTTGCACAATTTACACCCACGAGTTCATGAACTGCACTTGTATATCGGATTCAATAAAAGTATTTACACAAGACAAGAACCCTTACAAGACAGATTATTTACAGCAAATTGATAGTAAAAAACGTATTTTTATGAGTTCAGTTACGTTTATTAATAAAATTTAATCTAAACATAATTGTTTGATTTGATAAAAAAATTAAACTACCATTGTTCTCGGCTTTGTATTAACACATTTTTTGAAAAATATTGCTTAAAATCAAAAATGGTCGTTGATTAATCACTTCTAATTAAAAACTCACAGACAAGGTATGAAATAAATCTATCAAAGTTTCTCCAACCTTATAAAAATATGCAGAGCTAACACATATAAGGAAAATAATTATAATCGCTTAATATAATGCAGCCTAGAAAACGCGCTAAATTTTACAAAGAATTCCAAAAATTTCTTTACAACACAGTTTTTCAATAAAAACTATTTTTAAGAGTTTTTCAAAATATTTTAGAGTTTAAAAAAATAATACTGCAAGTTGAATTTAGCCAGGCCAAAATTTAGCACTTTCAAGTGGACTTTCACAAGCCACATCATCCGAAAAAGAATTTTGTGAAAAACTGTTGAGCGAACTGCAATATTTGGCATAGCCCCTTTCTACCATCAAGTCACAAATGTTTTCTGAAGACGTTAATGTGTAGAGATACATTTCACAGGGGAAGTCTCTAAAGCTGGATAAAATATTGATTTACATTTATTTAATCTACTATTTTAATTTCATTTCACATTGCGTATGTATCAATCAATCAATCAGTTGGATAATTAATTTAGGCAAAAGATTTCAAACTACTTCAGTAACTTTACAAGGTAACAATTTATTCTAAGTTTCTGTCATTAATTTATCAAAATAAAATGGAGAGTCAAGTAAACAAAAAATAAACATCTTTAATTAATTTAATAAACATCTTTAATTAATTTAATAACCTGTGAGATCTGTTTATTTGAGCAAGGCAATATCTATCAGTCACAAGAGATGCAAAATAATCACTGGAAGATTGTTAGATGACATTATTAAAATCCAATGAAAATCAAATAAAAATTCAATAAAAATCTAATGGAATCCAATGGAAATCCTATGAACATGCAATGAAAATTCGAGACAATAGAAAAAACAAAAATTAATTCTTAATTAATTAAAATTTAAATAAACTATTTAAACAACTTTAAATAGTTTATTTACACTAAGTACCTCATGAAAACTCTTACTGCATAGTCTATTCTATATTTGTTGTGATCGTTATTTGCCACAAAATTACATTCAAACATCAAAATATGCAATAAATAAAAAATAGAACTTTGTGGTTTTCTTTTAAACAATTACTACTTTGATTTACAAATTTTTCATGATAAATTGAAAAAATTTTTTCGACTGAATTTAAAAATGAATTTCTTAGGGAGCTTTACATTTTATTGCACGGTACATACAATAATATTAAACTGACACGGGTTAATTTAGGCAAATTATTCATCGAAAATATCAAACGTCAACATAGCAATCAAAAAACGAAGGCGAACTTCGGGCACCAATCAGAAAAAACAAAACGAAACGTACATGGCCTGCTGACTCCAGGACAAAGAATCTGCAGGCATAATAGGCAAAGAAGACTGAATGGCTTGATAGGGTATTTCAATAAACTGCGGTTCAATGCACCGTAGGCGGTTGATAGGGATTACTTCAGTGTTCCCATAATCGACGTAATATACCTATAAATTAACAATTAATGATAATCAAATTATCCTTTCTATTTTTATAAAATATATTTTTCATTTGTAATATTTTTATTATTCTATACTACGTTCAAATTAGAATAGCGTGATGTTGCAATATATTTGACCTGCTTCCTTCATTTAGTACAAAAATTTTGCTCCTGAGTTAATAATCTCAACAATAAATGATTATAAATAAAAAACAATCATAATTTAAGATAAGTAAAAAATATCAAATTAAGTTAAGTCAAATTAAATTAATAAAAAACTAAAACGTAATAAATAAAAATTAGTTAATAGTATGTAATAAATTAATCATAACACATTATTAACTGAGACTAATTAATTGCCAGCTACATCAATATTATTAAGCCTTTATTGGCGTTTTCAGACGCAACAAACGAACCACAGCAAAATACATGAAGCAACATCACAACCAACCTGACAGAGATCTTCCTCATGCGAATAATGTTCCAGTACTCTAGCCCTGTGCCAGAGTTCAAACGTCTGAGACCGCGCCACTACAAGTTCGCCAATATTGTACAACGTTAAATCGTGATCCTGGTATATCTTGCTGTTGTAACAAGAGCTGGAACATGAATGTACATTTACTATAAAAAAACATTTCCTATCATAATTTGTAGATTCTTTCGCAGTATGCCACGCAGCATGCCACGCCAGCCACAAACTCATTGCTCGTTCATATCACAACATCAATTTAGACTCCTTATATGCATAGAGGAAGATTTTATAGTTATAACCAGCGTGTCGGAATCGGATGAAAAATATTCGAGTCCGGTCTCTCAAAGAATTCCGACCCCAGGTCAAAATTTCCGACTTCGAGTTTTCCGACTCCCAGAAAAAATTTCAACTTTTTCATCATAATTTTATTTAATTACCACCACTAAATAAAAAAATACTATGAAAGGCATTTAAAACGAGTCAATATAACTGTTTTACTTATTAAAATTACTTTATATTTTAAAACATGCTGAAAAAAATTATGCGATTTCATTGACATTAATAGCTTTTATTTTCAGTATTACAACGATTGCTTATTGTTACACAATTTTTCTTCTTAAAAACACGAGCTTGAAAAAAATTCTCAGAAAAAAAAATCTTTTTAAACTCGCAACATTTTTCCGGAGTGAAAATTATTCGAGAAAAAATTCCGACTTCAGCAAAATTTCCGACTGCGATCCCTGGTTAAAACCAAGACGAAACTGAAAATACAATTTATTTTGTTTCCCTACAACAACACGTTAATAACGGGGTTTGAAACAAATTTCCTACTTCAAACTTTCCATCAGCATTTGCAGAGGAGATTCACCACGAAGAGTTACTTGTTCCGCTGCCACGTCTGCTTTGATTAAAATAATAAAAACTGGAATCAGTTCCTATTAAACTTTTAATAAGAAGTGGCAAATGATGTAAAATTTAAAAATATAAATAGATGTAATATCAAAACAGTTATTATGATATATATTTCAGTGATGTTAATGGTATAATTTTGAAGACCTTATTAGCTATAGTTATGCCAATCACCATGTTAAAACTTCTAAAAGATCAATTATACATTGGAATAAATTAAAAAAAAATAGATGAATAGGCAATATGAAATTAATTTAAGAAGAATGAATCACATCTACAAACTCGCGAAGGGAAGCACCACAAAAAATTTTTGCGGATTGACCATGACCGATATGCTAACATAATACCACTCACTCTCCACTAATTCGATGACTGCTAGGTTGAAATTCTCGTAAAACAGCAGCTGGCGGTCAGCTGTCACGGAGGTCGGCTGGGCTAAACATATGAATCAATATTAACTCATTGAACTCTATTTAAAAATGAATCATTGTTAACTTATTTAAAATTTCATTCAAGTAACAAAAAACATTATAAAGCATCTAAAAACTTAGTGAGTAAAATCGATCAAGTCATATAAACATAAACAACAACAACACAACACACGTTTAGACGGCATTTTCCCCGAGATCGGGGGTTGCCGTTTGGCTACCTATGATGAAACCGAAATACCCCTCGACGCCATCCACATCTGTCACTCGCCTCAGTATCACGCAACCCCGCTTTCACCCTGTCCTTCTCCACCTGCTCTCTCCATCCCAATCGCGGACGACCCCTTCCTACCACTCCTTCAACCTCGAACTCCAACGCTCGCCTAATCCCGACCCTTTCACCCCTTCTCAACACATGTCCATACCACCGCAATCTCGATCTCCTTATCAATGTCACAATGTCCTCATTCAGTCCCATCATTGACATCAGCGCTGTACTACTCCTCCTATCCTTCACTTTAACCCCACACATCATCCTCACCATAGCTCTTTCAGCCCTCTGCAGTACACTTTCCTCCTCTCTCCTCAACACCCAAGTTTCACCACCATATACCATCGCTGCTCTCACACATGCTTTATATACCCTAATATAACATATAAACATAAACAGCTGAAACAATATAATCATAAAATAAGTATGCTTAATATATGCCTGTCTGATTGTGAAGTTCAGTCTAATAAATAATGAAATAAGTTAACAATGATTTTATTAACAGCTTAAAGGAAATAACAATTGCAGACCTCTGGTGTGCTCATATTTGCAGAAATGTCCCCACCAGCATCCACCTGCTTTGTCGAAATATTTACAAACTCGTTTCTCATCTTTAGCCTCTGAAAAGTTCAATATTAGAAGCCATCTATTAAATAATTTATTTATTAAATAAGATTTTTAGCTGTACATTTTCAATGATTGATATATTAAAAAAAATTATTTGATGAATAAAACGAAATAAACAAAATATCTAATTATGAAGATGAAGCTCTAAAGACTGACCGTAACTAACGGTGGCAACCCCAGGGTTATCCATGTCGACCAGGTAGCTGTTGCGGTAAGACAAGTATTCATCATTCATCCCATCTTGCATGAATTTGGAGATTTCTGACGGCAAACCTATTGTATGCAAAACAAAACATCACTTATTAAATTAATCTGATCATATTATACAAACACAGTTGCAATCATATCATTAATAAGACTGGTTGATCATTTCATTTTTTGTACCGCATATCATGTAAAATGTTTTGAAATCAAAAAACTTGTTTAATTAAGAATTTAACCAACCTTCATTGGAAAATTTATCTTTACTATTCTCCCGTTCCATTCCATTTAGCAAACATGTGGACAAATTATTGGCCGTTACTTCTTCTTCTTGAACATGATGGTACGCAATATGAAGGATTAAAAAATATAAAAATAATATAATATATATATATATATATATATAGATATATATATATATATATTGTAAGTCGACTTGAATCAATCCACAAGTACGTGAGTTAATAAAGGGTGAGAATTTCCGACTTGCTCTCGCAAGTATGGTCGGCTAGCACGAGTACATAAAGTACACCATCTCTCAGCTAAGGTAATAATTGCACTAAGTTAGTGTTTAAACTCGAGCTACTGATGAGTCCCATAAGGGACGAAACGCGTCTGGCCTAAAACGAGTTGGCTGTTCACAGAAACGCATCTTTGGTCGTGGTGAGAGATGGTGTACTTTATGTACTCGTACTGGCCGAAGTAGATGATTATTTTATCTGATTAATTTTGAAAAGTGGCCGAAATTCAGTTACCAGGAAGTGGCTGAATTTTACACCATCATGTTTAAACATCAATTTTCAACTATTTTCAAATTCTCACATACATATATCAATCAATCAATCAATGATCCTTCTTTGTCCATCAGGGGACCATATATATATATATATGTGAAGTTGTGACGATTGGGATGATAATGATTGCGCGATTGAGATATGCCGCCTGTATGGTGATGATAATGATTGCGCGATTGAAATATGCCGCCTGTATATTTTGTGAAATTGTGATGATAATGATTGCGTCTTTGAGGCGTGCCGCCTATACATATCTATATATTTTACTAGTCATTCTATGCATGTATATTTTGTTATTTGATATGCTATATAAGCGACGCTGCTGTGCTGTATCGCTTTTCTGAGTATAGGAAGAGAGTATAGATAGGAGTATAGAATTTTCTATGATATAGAAAGCATTATGTAGATAGGGCGGTAAAAACATATAAAAGGCCGCGAGTTAAGATATTGTGGGGCGGGTCGTTTGTTATCTTAATTTTAGGTTTTGGTCTCTTGCTTGTCAGTTGTATTATTAATAGATTAATTTTGGACTTATCGTTTTGTTTTAATAAGGACAGAGGTTTGATTTGTATTATTTTGTTTGTTATTTTATTTCTTTTATTGAATAAAAGAAGTATACACTTGAAGTTTGGCTCGGCTTAATTATTCTACCTAAAATAATGGATGTTGAAGAAGACTTGTTGATAGTTGACGAGGTCGGCGTCTCTAGTCAACAAGCAGGGTGCGAACAAACTTCCGCCCGGCCCGTGTTTTCAGACCCTGAGAGGGTCTATTGTAGAGTGGCGGATCCCGGCCAGGAAAGACTCCGCCGAAGCGAAGGCTCGGGTGGATATTCGTATGCGGACGCGGTTCGGGACCGCGTGGTGCGGAATTCGAATGTCGCCCGGCGAAAATCTACATATACAATCAATCAATCAATCTTCGTTTTGCGTCCAGAGACCCGGTTTCCCGAGGTAAGACGTTGTTTTCTTTGCCATCAACTTTTTGCGCCAAATTAGACGATCAGTTGTATCCATTTCATTTAAATTTAGAGCTTTCATGTCTTGCTCGATTGTTTGCGACCAGGACTTCTTTGGACGGCCTTTGGGACGTGTGCCAGGTACTTCAACATCTGCAAGGGAAGTTATGGCACTGTTTCCACTTCGTTTGACATGACCAAACCACCGCAGACGGTGTTGCCGGCATTCGTCCTTTATATCATCTAAACCAGCACGACGCAAGATTTCGGTAGATTTGATGTGGTCCTTCAGACTAATTTGTTGCATCCATCGGAGCATTTTCATGTCGGTTCGTTGAAGTTGTTGTTCCAGTTTGGTTGTCATTTTCCATGTTTTTGCACCATATAACAACACCGGACGTATCACAGATTTATAAAGTCTGTGATACGTCCGGTGTACTTTATGTACTCGTACTGGCCGAAGTAGATGATTATTTTATCTGATTAATTTTGAAAAGTGGCCGAAGTTCAGTTCTGTAGATACATACATATTATAGGTACATACATATTATACATAATATACACATCTTGTGTATAATCTGAGTGAGCATAAACGATCCGAAAAAGTAGTTGATTATTTTATCTGATTAATTTTGAGAAGTGAAAAAGTTGGCGCAAAAAGTTGATGGCAAAGAAAACAACGTCCCACCTCGGGGAACCGGGTCTCTGGACGCAAAACGAATATTGATTGATTGAATTTTGATAAGTGACCGAAAGAACCGGTTACCAGAAAGTGACTGAATTTTACACCATCACGTTTAAGCATCAATTTTCAACTATTTTTAGATGATCAGGTGAGAATGGTACTGACCAAAAACTAGAACTTTCATACTTTTCCTACCTTCGATTTGATTGAACAAAAGATTAACTGAATGTTCCTTAATTGGAGCTGTCGAGTCATTATAAATACTTTTTGGGATTATTACAATTACAACTGACCAGTTTGCCATCAATTGTAATATTAAAACATTAAGAAATTATATTAACAACCAATTATGTGTGTTCCTATATAAATATATATATATATATATATATAAAGATACCAATATTAATATACTTGATCTTAATTTAATAACAATTGTTATTATTTTAAATAACGCAAATTTGAATAATAAATTATTAATATTAAATAATTATCAAATAAAATCTTTATCGGCGATTGTTATCAAATCATTCAGATTTTTCAGGCGTTTTAGAACGTTTTCCGGCTATCTTTAAGCCACTGGAAAAACTTCCAACTATTTATTTAATTGTTTATACATATTCTTTATGATGGCAATTTCGATTAGAAATTTCGACATATTTTGGATGTGACCTTCTTGTTTTTACTGCTGTATGAATAATACGCTTGATAAAGAATCAGTAAAAATTTGAAATTTTTTGCTGTGAATATTTTGTAAATAATCTATGGCCATCTTTACAGCAAATAATTCTGAGGATGTTGTAGAAGTGCATGCCGAGTTGCTAGGGGAATAATAGTGAAATTTAGGTATAAATGTAGCAGAAAATGTCTTTGTGGTTTATATATTCAAGTTGAAAACATGTTCTTTCCTAAATAATTTCATTTAATTAAAAAACCTTAAACCAGTCTATTATAAATCTCATAACTCGGGTCTATATTTATAAAACCTCTTCTAAAGAAGCTACATCAGTTGGCCTGGTTCAATAGTGTCAGTCAGAAACTTAAAAATTAAAAGCACACATGTATGATACTGTGCTTACTTGCGTGTGTTCAAAATTTATAAATCGTGTGGGAGATAGACCTTGTATGGTACAAAAATAGATGTAGTATCATAACGGTGGAAAATATATTTCAGACATGCTAACGGTATAATTTTGAGGAGTTAGACTTTTTATCGCACAAAAAAACAGTTGCTGTATATGTTTATGACTATATGGCATCATTGTGCGTCGTCAGTGCTGCATAATAAATAACAAAAAAAGGTAACAAATTGCCAAGAGAGACACATTCAAATAAAATAATTAAGCCAAGAGCTGGTAGTTAATCATATTTTGTGCTAAAACAAATCTTCAAATTATTTTCTTAAATAAAAACTTAATAAAAAAAAGTCTTTGACATACCCAACGTGATTTTTGAAAGTTGTGCAAGACCTATGTCACACATCTGTACTGAAATGAATGATATGCATGATTCGTCGTTTATTTCAAACAGACTGATCAAAAGAGGATTTTCTCTGGTTCCACTGTTTTGAAAAAATAATCACATAGAAGACGATTTCAATAATTACGTCATAGCACTGTTTTATATATATATATATATATATATATATATATATATATATATATATATATATATATATATAGGAATAAGTTTGTCAAAAATGCACTTATTGATGAAAATCACGGCATGTTCGGCGTTAGTTAAGTTAACTTTCTGTTTAACTTTTAGATTTCTCTAAAGGTTGATCGATAGTATAGACTATCCAAAGCTAGAAATTCGGTAGATTTCATATATATATTTATATGTATCAATCTTTCAATCTTCGTTTTGCGTCCACAGACCCAGTTCCCCCGAGGTAGGACGTTGTTTTCTTTACCATCAATTTTTTGCGCCAAATTAGACGATCAGTTGTATCCATTTTATTTAAATTTAGAGCTTTCATGTTTTGCTCGACTGTTTGCGACCAGGACTTCTTTGGACGGTCTTTGGGACGTGTGCCAAGTACTTCAACATCTGCAAGAGAAGTTATGGCACTGTTTCTACTTCGTTTGACAAGACAAATCCACCGCAGACGGTGTAGCCGGCATTCGTCCTTTATATCATCTAAACCAGAACGACGCAGGATTGATTTGTTTTTCAGACTAATTCGTTGCACCCATCGGAGCATTTTCATATCGGTTCGGTAAATTTGTTCCAGTTTGGTTGTCATTGGCCATGTTTTTGTACCATATAACATCATCGGATGTATCACAGATTTATAAAGTCTTGATCGTAGTGGTAGTGGGATGTCACGCTGCATTAATATAGAAGCAAGGAGATGCCATTTATTCCAGGCTGCACGTATGCGTGCTCGAACGGCAGCTTCAGCTGTTCCAGTACAATCCAGAACATCCCCTAGATATTGAAACAATGTGACTTTCTCTACCTTAATGGCTTCAAAAACAGTGCTACTTCGAATTTGTTGTTGTGGATTGGTGCAAGCAGGACAAACAAAATTGGACACTTTAAATAAAGTACCAATTATTTTTGAACAACGTTTGTGACATCACTGGTTACACTGCTGACACTTGATTGAATTGTTACCTACACCAGCTTTACAAACTGAACACCAGTGTTCATTGCTTTGGTTTTGCTGATGTTGACTTTGAATCCATGATCGGCGAGTCTGGTGTTCCAATCTTCAAACATCTGTGCTGCATTCTGCTCAGACGTGGCTGTTAAAACGATATCATCAGTCTTTGACAGTCAAAGTCCAACTCCTGGCCTTCTCGTGGCGAAACTGTTAAAACTAACAGGAGAAGGGGCGAAGGCGGATAATTAGCGCCTTAAAACTAGTAGCTTCGGGTTGATGAGGCTTGATACACACCTATCTAGGAGAAGGTAAACTCTGATTTCAAACCTCCACTGCCTTGTGGCTATACCCTTTTTAAGGAAAGGCTAAGGGAGTAAACCTTAACAGAAAATCAGGCTTTAAGACGATATGGTTGCCTCAACCTCTACTCGGCTTGCTACCTACCCACGTTTGTCTGGGGCGAACATTTACAGCCAAAGTATTGTTTACATAGTCGTCTCAAAAAAAACTTCATACCGCATCGCTAGTCGAGAGGGTTAACAAGGAACGCGCAGTTTCGGTTATCGTCGGCCAGCTGTGATAAGCGGACTACGCGAACAACCCTATTTATTATCCCTCTTTACGGTCCCGTGCTAGGGCCAACCCACTTGATCTGCGAAACACCACCAGGATCGGCTTTTGGAACATTCGCTCACTATGCGCAACGCGTGGCGCAAGGATCATCGTGGACGAATTGTTGCGATACGGTATATGCATTATGGGTCTGCAGAAAGTTCGATGGCGAACTGCGTGTTGCTGATTTCAATATACTGTAGTCGGGCCTAGCTAAGGGTCATCCCAGGCTCGCTGATGTTGCCTTGGCCCTGAGCAATCAGACTAATCGTGCACTGATTGAATGGCACCCGATCAATGAAAAGCTGATGGCTGCTCGTTTCGGAAATCGATATGGTGCTATTATTATTATTATTATAATTATTATTATTATGATCGTAAATTTATAAAGCGCTTAAATAAAACAAAAATTTCTCAAAAGCACTATACATAACAGTAAAACAATAAAATAAATGAGTGGCTTAATCATTTTAAAAAATAGATATTATTTATAACGAAAATAAATGTGTTTTCAAATTCTTTTTAAGTCATCAATCTTCAATCCAGGCGATCTAAGCGAAATTGGCAGACCATTTCAAGCAATTGGTCCTGACACGGCGAAGTCTCTCGACGCAATCCGCGGATCAGTTGTATGTTAGTGATTGAGTAGTAATGAAGCAACGGCTGAGACCAAAGATCTTTCTACAGCGCAGTGGAGGACTCGTTTCGCTTCACCAAGCCCACCGACCTCATCATTTGCCTGCGCGACTTTAACGCGGTAACGGGTGTTGACCGCCGTATGCCCGCGGTAATTGGCCCTTCGGTAGCGGGTCACCAAACGACAACTCTTATCGTTTCCTGGAATTCTGTGCCTCCGCGAGACTTAGGGTCTGCGGATCCTGGTTTTGCCGTAAGGATATCCATAGACTGGCGCGGCACTCAAATTTCGGTGTTACGGCTAAGGAGGTGAGGAGAACACAGCAGCCCTCCGTTTCCTCACTCCTGTTCAGGCGTCTGTTCAGACAACTCTTATCGTTTCCTGGAATTCTGTGCCTCCGCGAGACTTAGGGTCTGCGGATCCTGGTTTTGCCGTAAGGATATCCATAGACTGACGCGGCACTCAAATTTCGGCGTTACGGCTAAGGAGCTGAGGAGAACACAGCAGCCCTCCGTTTCCTCGCTCCTGTTCAGGCGTCGTTTTAACTTTTTTGGTCACATAGCTCGTGTCAGTCCCATAAAGGATCATTACCGGGCTTTAAAAACCGTCATAGACCGACCGCCACCGGACTGGACTCGACCGCGCGGCCGTCCAAGACAATCATGGATCCGCTCAGTGGAGAAGGACCTGTCCCTCATCAACTACAGTCCTTACTCCGCCTGGAGACTTGCTCATGATCGCTTGGCACCTTGAGAACACGGCAACGTCCCGTTATGGGGCACGCTCATAATATATATATATATATATATTTCATCCATCCCACACGAACTCTAGTCGTAACAGCGTTCAAACATCCTCCATCCGCGTTCAGCTTAACCCCTAAATAAACAAAGCTTTCCACTCTTTCAAAAATAAAACGGTCTTATATATATATATATATATATAGTCTAATATATATATATATATATATATATATATATATATATATATATATATGGTAAAAATTTCTCACATATTCTGTAAATTTTCAGCAAAAAAAAATGATTAAAAAAGTTCATAAAAATTAGCTCAACTAAAAAATGACTATAATCTAATTTAAAGTACCTTCTAATAAATAAAGAATAAAATGAATAATAACTCACCAAATACAATCATCTAGTTTGTACTTAGACGATAAAAAGGCACTTAAATCATCGCTTTTCATCTTAGCCATAAAATAATTTAACGCTTCTGTTGACCAGTCGTTGTTTGCAAGTGGTTCAACCCCATCCAACTGACAACAAACTGCCAACCTGGGACTATGGTCAACAAAATATTGATCTAAGTGGAAAACATCATCCAATGATGTTAGTTCAATCTCCTCCCCTAGATCAACAAGTGATAATCTAACAGTTATATTCTCATTATCTTCATTCCTTTTTACATCTAAGATCTAAATAAAAATGAAAAAATATTACATATATATTTATATATAGATAATAATCAATAATCTTAAATAGGTGTCATATATATATATATATATATATATATATATATATATATATATATATATATACATATATATTAGGGTGTCCCAAAAATATGAAGTTTTAAAATATTGATGTCTCATCCCATTAAATATGTCTGTATGGTAACAGTAATTTACCTGCCAAATTTTAGCCCATTTGGACAATGTTTAGAGGTCGAAAGTTTACGATTTTGGTGTTTGATCGTTCGCTACCAACTTTTGATACAGCGTTATATGATATGATTATAAATGTTTTATGATTTGTTTATACAAATGAAACAAAATATATAATTGTGAAAAAATATATAAATCTGCAATGCTTTTTATTTTTTAATTTCAAAAATTAGGTCAAAAATGATTGAAAAACAAGATTTTATTGAATTTCAGTTCGCTTGAATATTAATTAATGCAAATAATTCAAATTTTCGCTAACAGTTCACGATTATATTCTGCAAAGTTTTTCCTATGCTGTTCAACTACTTGAAGCAAAAATGGTTTCTGCTCTGCGTCTTTGGAGATTGTTTCATTGAAATGTTGTACCAACGCTACTCCCCGTTCTGCAGAGTCATTGATGCAAACCAGATTCCTTACAAACATTGCTGCAACTTGGAAAGAAGGAGTATCTGACAAGTTTTCAATAAGTACATCAAGAAAACTGGCATCAATATTGGATGTTTCAAAAAATGTTTTAGACGCACGCAAATTGTCAAAACTTTGTGGTAGTGTTCTCGATCTGCTTGTATTGTGCGGACAAGATCAGTCTTTTCTTTGTCAGACAGGAGAGATGAAAAAAGAGCAAGAGTTGCCAATTCTGGACTCATGTACCAAGAATGACGCAGCATCATTTTTAATCCAGTCGAACCAAGAACGGCATCGTCGTAGTCGTCCAAACGCTGTATCAACAAAATATCATTCACAGGTGCATCAGCAGTGAGCCTGCATGAAAACCGTGACTGAAGATAAACACAAATGATAAACCGATTCAAACGTTGAATACCTTGTAATTCTCGAGCTGTTAAGTTAAAAATGGTTTTATTTACGGTGAATAATAGTTCAATTTTTAATGCGCAGATGGCTTTTGCCATCCATCGTGCCCTGTGCAATGCACCAGATTTGCGAATGGCTACATCAACCTGCAGCCCAACTATATGTGCAGCTAGAAGTAGAAACTCGTGAATGTCTGACCTCAAGTTGACATTTGATGAATGCTTTAATTGCATCTGAAACAATTATCAAAGAGGTTGATCTAGCTTCTAGTGTGTGATTCATTTCTGTCCATTTTTCACGAAACCTTTGAAGAATAAAATTTCTGGTCCAGCGGATGGTCCAGCGGATGGTCCAAGACAAACATTATATACATCGGCAAGCAGCACTTAAAACTTATAATGACGGCAAGCCATCCATAATAAATTACGTCCCATGGCTTTTTCTAGAAGAGTGCAAGCTCCATTGAGTTTTTCAGTAATGGAAGCTGTCGTGTCAAAGCACATGCCAATAACCATTGATTCACATTTTCAAGATTTTATCTGTTCATGAACTGCATCAGCAGCTGCTCGTCCTAATCCAGATGCTAACCTTGGAACTCCAAGAAGTTTTGTAGTGCCATCAACAAGTGATGAGAGCAGGACAGGCAACCAATCTACGTTGACCACACCAGTAACATAGCGAGTTGACTGGTTAAAAATATACATTTTTTGCATTTTCTAATAAAGATTATCATTTTAAAGGTAATTGTTAATAATATTTTAAACTCTTATTAATGTCAGCAGTGAGATAATTAAACTAGTTTGCATTTCTAGCTTTATTTCACTCATTTTGTGCATATTGTTTAAGATTGTTGATATGGATTTTGAATTAACTCGATAGTAAAATTTTAAAAGCCCTTGGGGGACCTCTCAAACTTGTTCAAATGAGCTGTAACTTCACCAATTTAATTATTGTACCCAAGAGACACTTTTCAGAGGGTGAGACATCAACTATTTAAAAAAAAAATTTCAGTGCATTTCTGGGACACCCTAATATATATATATATATATATATATATATATATATATATATATATATATATATATATACACACACATACATACATACATAATTATACATATACATACATAATTATACATATACATACATAATTATACATATATATATATACAGAATTGTATGAATTCTACCAAATTGTTGGCATTAATCATTTAAAAGTTTGTCTTTTCAATTTTCATTACTAGAATTTTCTGGAAATTGTCTATATTCTGAGCAAGTATATATATACATACAACATACGTTTAGACGACATATTCTTCGAGATCGGGGGTTGCCGTTTGGCTACCTATGATGAAACCGAAATACCCCTCGAAGCCATTCACATCTGTCACTCACCTCAGTATCACGCAACTCCTTCATCCATTCCACACGAACTCTAGCTGTAGCAGCGCTCAAACATCCTCCATCCGCGTTCAGCTTATCCCCTAAATAACCAAAGCTTTCCATTCTTTCAATACCACCACTCAACTCCGTCCTTGCGTCCGTCCTATTAATCACACCAAGAGCACATTTCTTACATTTGAACTTGCCTTCCACCTTTTTCAGTGCCCCCCTCACACCACTACATCTCTTATGCACCCACTTCTGACATCCTATACACAATACCGAGTTAGCCTTCACTCTCCTGTCACATACCCCACAGGGGTCTATTTTACTTATCACTCGCTCCCCACCTTCCCCACAAACCATTACCTTCGTCTTACCAATATTAACTTTTAATCCTTTCTTTTCAATAACACTTTTCCATCTGTCAAATTTTAACTGCAATTCTTCCATGCCATCAGCCATCAAGACTAAATCATCTGCATACAAAATCTCAAATAACAACCCCTCCATTATGTTTCCACACACAACATCCATCACAATTGCAAACAGAAACGGTGATAACACTGATCTTTGATGCACTCCTACCTTAACACTAAAAGCGTCCGACATCCCCCTTCCAACCCTCACCTTTGTCTTTGCCCCTTCATACAGCTGCATCACAGACTGTCCATGAACATCAGCGTTGATCCAACAACAACACTACATCAACATTGTAACTGACAAGCTGAGAGTTTAACTGAATCTTGTCACCCGGGTGCTAAAAAATTTTGCATTCAGAGTCTGTGTTACTTTTACGGTCATTTAGTAAACTTTGTGTAGAGTAGTCGTCCGTGAAGCCACGAGTTAGTACGGAGCGATTACGAATTATAGTATTATAGTATTCTTAAATAAATTCAAGGCAATTTATCAACCACTCCTTCAACCTCGAACTCCAACGCTCGCCTAATCCCGACCCTTTCATCCCTTCTCAACACATGTCCATACCATCGCAATCTCGATCTCCTTATCAATGTCACAATGTCCTCATTCAGTCCCATCATTGACATCAGCTCTGTACTACTCCTCTTATCCTTCACTTTAACCCCACACACCATCCTCACCGTAGCTCTTTCAGCCCTCTGCAGTACACTTTCCTCCTCTCTCCTCAACACCCAAGTTTCACCACCATATACCATCGCTGCTCTCACACATGCTTTATATACACTCTCTTTCATTTTCACTGACCATTTCTTTCCACACTATACCCCACCCAGTTCCCTAAATTTCATCCATCCTACACGAACTCTAGCCGTAACTGCGCTCAAACATCCTCCATCCGCGTTCAGCTTATCCCCTAAGTAAACAAAGCTTTCCACTCTTTCAATACCACCACTCAACCCCGTCCTTGCGTCCGTCCTATTAATCACACCATGAACACATCTCTTACATTTGAACGTGCCTTCCACCTTTTTCAGTGCCCCCTCACACCACTACATCTCTTATGCACCCACTTCTGACATCCTATACACAATACCGAGTTAGCCTTCACTCTCCTGTCACATACCCCACAGGGGTCTATTTTACTTATCACTCGCTCCCCACCTTCCCCACAAACCATTACCTTCGTCTTACCAATATTAACTTTTAATCCTTTCTTTTCAATAACACTTTTCCATCTGTCAAATTTTAACTGCAATTCTTCCATGCCATCAGTCATCAAGACTAAATCATCTGCATACAAAATCTCAAATAACAACCCCTCCATTATGTTTCCACACACAACATCCATCACAATTGCAAACAGAAACGGTGATAACACTGATTTTTGATGCACTCCTACCTTAACACTAAAAGCGTCCGACATCCTCCTTCCAACCCTCACCTTAGTCTTTGCCCCTTCATACAGCTGCATCACAGCTTTAACAAGTCTCTCATTCACTCCTTTCTTCCTCAACGCCCATTCAATGACCTTCCTCGGTACTCGATCAAAAGCCTTTTCTAGATCCACAAAACACATGTACAATCTTCGTTTCTTCTTTCTATAATTCTCCTGCAACATTCTCACCATGAACAACGCATCCACCGTTCCCCTACCAGGCATAAACCCACACTGCATTTCATTAACTGTCACCATATTTCTCAACCTCTTCTCAAGCACCCTCTCCACTACTTTCATTCCGTGCTCTAGCAATTTCACACCCCTATATGACCCACAATCTCACATCTCCTTTGCCCTTATACAACGGCACCAACACACTGTGTCGCCAATCCTCAGGTATACCTTCATTATCAAACATACTGTTAGCAATTCTCATCATGACTTCAATTCCTATCACCCCACTCGCTTTTATATGTTCTGCCGCCACTTCCGAAACCCCTGTCGCCTTACCTAGTTTCATTTCTCTAACTGCTTTCTCTACTTCCTCCATCGTCACCTTCTCTATAGGTCCGTGTGTGACCGCGGATTCCACATCTCCATCCCACTCATTCTCTTCATTCATCAACCTTTCCATATGAGCTTTCCACACCTGAGCTTTTTCCTCCTCATCTATGCACAACTTGCCAGATCCATCCCAAACACATCCATTCCCTATAACATCTTTCCTATCCCTCATTGACTGCTTTGCTACTTTGAACATTTTCCTCGAACTCACATCAATTTCCATTTCCTTTATTAACCTATCTGATGCTTTCGTCATTGCAGTTGCCACTGCCTGTTTTGCAACCTTCTTAGCCTTCCTATACTCAAACTCCGCTTCCTCCGTCATGTCCCTTCTCCATACCCTAAACCTCTCCTTCTTGACCTCCAAAACCCTTCTTATATCTTCATCCCACCACCACGTCTCACCATGCCTACACTTTCCTTTCGTCCATCCACATACTTTATCTGCAGTCCCTGTATCTCTCCCAAACATCTCCATCCTTACCACTCTCCCAATTTTCAGCCACCTTCACTTCAAATGCCTTCCTCACTTCTGCATCCTGCAACTTCCATGTCTTTCTCTTTGCCACAAACTTATCCTTCTTCCTCCTCCCCATTTCTTTTGATGTCACATCCATCACAACCATACTATGCTGCAGCATACCAGGTATCGCCTTCACATTCTTCACATACTTCCTATGTTTGGCCCTTGCCAATATATAGTCTATCATCGACCTATGCTTCCCTGACCTATATGTAATCAATCGCGCTGGTTCCCTTGTAAACCAGGTATTCCCCACCACCATGCTATGTGCATCCGCCAACTCCAACACTCTACGCCCTTCCTCATTCCGTATACCATATCCCCACCCCCCATGTACACCTTCATATCCGTCTGCATCCGCCCCCACATGACCATTCAAATCACCCAACAACACCACAAACTCATCCAACCCCGCTTGCCCAATCTCGTCAGAAACATCATCATAAAACCTATCCTTCTCCTCTTCCTTCCTACTTTGTTGCGGAGCATATCCTGATATCACCCTCACTATTACTTTTCCAAACACTATCACCACCACAATTACGCCATTGCTTCTCCGCCTCACTTCCAACACCTTCTCCACCAACTCTTACCATCACACCAACTCCTCCCGTACCATCATCCCCCTTTCACCACAACTTATATCTTCCACCTTTAGCCCCCACAAACTCTCTCCCTTCCATCTGATCTCCTGTAATGCAGCCACGTCAACCATTCTCCTCTGCAACTCCTCCACCACATCCAAACTCCTTCCTGTCAACGTGCCTACACTCCAGGTAACAAACCTCCAACCCCTTGGTCTACAAGTAATCCTTCCATCCATAGTGCCTTGCACCACAACACTATAGAGTGGGGTGGGGTGATGTCTCTAAAAAATAACACACACAAACGCACACACAAACACACACATATATATATATATATACAAACACACACACATATATATATATATATTATATATATTATGTGTGTGTGTGTGCGTGTGTGTGCGTGTGTTATTTTTTAGAGACATCAATTTTAATTTTAATAGCGAATAGTTTAGAATTCATACAAAGAGATGGCCTTAGGATGTCTTTAATGAATGGTTGAGACAATATGATAAAACGGGTTGGCAAATAATCACCTTAATTATAGTTTTCGACTCATACCAATTCAGTTACCAATTCATATTTCTATGTGCTTATTTGTGAAAAATATAATAGGATAGAATTGCGTCTGAATTCATAAAAAAAATATTTTATTAGAACTTAATGAATGAAAATAAATGCACCTCAGCCCTATAGAAGATTTTTTCTTGAACATCATTGAAAAGGCACGGAACGTTTGGCAGGCAAGCATCTTTAGAAAATGGAATCAAACAACCGTGATTAAGAACAATTTCACAATTTTGTTTCAAATCCATGCTCAACTTATTCATTTCATTACACAAAAACACTTTTTGGTTTTCTGAAGTTGCACATTCTGCAATTGAATCAGCAGTTTCAGACATTTTGTGGAAAACTGATGATGGGGATGAGCTATTTTCATGCAGGTCGTTTTTAAAAATATGAATCCAAAAAAGAGACGGGGAAACAACATGTGAAACAACAAGTTTCATTGGATTATTGATGACTTTAATTGTTTTAAACAAATATGGACTAGCTATTTTACTGAGAAAAATATTTTTGTCATTGCTGGCCCTGGTTATATCAGTGGTACTCATGGGTTCTAACTCTGTTTCAAAAATTAAACCATTGTTGTCAACATCTTTATTTTCATCATTAACAATGAAATGCGTTGTTTTTAATTTGCTATCGCCATCTAAATATAAATTACTGCGTTTGTCTTCTATGTCAATACTGTTCAAAATTGTAAAATCAGTTGGTGAAATGTTATCATTAATATTAATTTTTGAACCATAAAAATCATGTCCCACTTCATTTGCAGCAGCATCGTGATAAGTTGAACTATTAAGTGTTTCTGCTCTAATTTTTATATCATTATTATTTCGGTCTTTTTTATTATTTTCAAACTTGGAATGAGTATGCACTTTAATCTGATTAATTTCATTTAAATGCCTTTCCTCATCCGAGTCACAGTCAGTTATTTCTTCAATGCCTTTAACTGTTTGAATGTTAACTGTGCCATCATGTAATATTTCATTTAAGGGCCCACCCCAGTCGCTGGCATCATCGTGAGACTCTACATTCCCATAGTTATTTGATGGTATACTAGATGTTTTACATGTTAAATTAGTGGATTCATCACCTGAATTGATTATTTTTGTATAAGATATTTGAGATTCTTCTGTTCCAAATATGCAATGATCAATATCTTGTTCCTTCCATTTTATGGATGAACATTTATCAAGAAAAGATGAAAAAATAGACAAATCATATTTATTTTTGAACTGTTTATTAATATTTTTCAATAGTTTTATTATCAGAACATGGTTATCTTCCATTTTAAACACATTTTCTTTGGACAAACTTTTCAGCTCTTTGTCATGTAACTCTAAACAATCAACTTTTTCATCAGCACAAGAAATAGATTGGAAAAATTTTAAAGTGGGAATAAAATCATCGAACTGTGTTTGTCTAATGCAGTCTTGTGCTGCACAATAATTTGCAAACCAGCAAAATATTTTGCTGTCATTATGGGCATAGAGAGCATTGTGATCTAATAAGTACTGAATAAAATCAAGTGGGGACGGATGCTCAGAATAAATCTTTCCTTCATTTGCATAAAGATTTACAAACGTAAGTGGGAGCTCATTTGAGCACTTTTTATGAAATGTAATTTTTTTTAACATCATCGATTTAATGATCAATAGCTTTTTAAACTTGAAGGTTGATAACGTTGGCCACACATCTGGTTCGTTGACTGGTGATACCTAAAAAATGATAAAAATAATATCTAAGCTTATAAAAAACAGGTAAAGAAAATAATGAAACTTACATTATGCAGTATACAACAAACAGCAGTCATGGGTAATTGTGCAAACTCAAAAGGCAAGGGATGTATTTTACTTTTACTGAGTAATTGATATTCACCATAATCAACAAAGTAGATTTCGTAACAGCAATTATCTGCAGCTATCAAACAAATAATCAAATGACAATTATAAATATAAAAAAAGAGTTCAAGGTTATAAAGAATAAATCCTAAATTTATACAAATGTATTCAAATCTTGAAATGCAATACAAATACAATATTATTTATTCATTAATCATTGGGCGGCGTGATGGCTCAATGGTTAAAGGCGCCTGGTCTTGCTATTGCTATGACTGGGTTCGAATACAAAGAGATCCCCGCCTATCATATGCAATGTGTATGATGCGTGGTTTGCACGCGTATTCATATACGCTGTGTGTGTTTGTCGTTAAAACCTCTGAAGCAAACGCAAAAGAGAGAGAGAAACCTTTAACCTTTATTGTCGCAACTAATGTTTGAAGTTAAGCTGCATAATCGGAACTAAATTGCAACTAGAGCTTGTTCAGGCAAACTATACTAAATCTAAACATCAATCAGAAGCCTTGAATAAATCGTACGTCACACATTACCGATGTCACAAAACAATATGAAGACACCAACTCCAATGAAAAGAACGTCGGACTGCACAGCAACTACCAGAATTTGATGAGAAGGAATGCGAAGTGGAACGAATACACACGAACCAGCCAGGGATCACCAGGAGCAATGCTCTTACATAAGCATTTGGAACAGGAGGTGGATAGTTTGGCAGAGAAGAGACTGTCCATGAACATCAGCGTTGATCCAACAACAACACTACATCAACATTGTAACTGACAAGCTGAGAGTTTAACTGAATCTTGTCACCCGGGTGCTAAAAAATTTTGCATTCAGAGTCTGTGTTACTTTTACGGTCATTTAGTAAACTTTGTGTAGAGTAGTCGTCCGTGAAGCCACGAGTTAGTACGGAGCGATTAAGAATTATAGTATTATAGTATTCTTAAATAAATTCAAGGCAATTTATCAACCGAGTGGCTTGTTTACATGATCTTACAAACCAAGCGATTGTTATTTGTTAACGTTCGCGGGAGATATATAATTATTATAAACATAAAAAAATAAATTAAAAATTAAACAAACCTTTGCCAAAATTTATGGCAATGATGTTACCCCTATACCACTTATTGTCATTCTTGTACTGAGCAGCTACCACTGATCCTAGTTTTAGATTTAATCTCCATTTTTTTAATTCTTTCTTTGTCCATTTATAGTTATCAATGTAGAAGCTTGATAAAATTGGTTTTAATGGATTCAAATAAAAATTATATCCAATAAGTTTGCTTAGTAGCCTAAACTCATGAAATATAAAAAGTCTAACAAGTGCATGTTTCAACTTTACAATTCTAGCTATCCTGCCTGTTTGAATGATTTCATAAAAAAGTCAAATCTTTCCCTCTTTCTGTAAATCTCATTTCGACTTATAGCCCACACCTATCAATCATCACGTGTTAGTGTTCTTCATAATTTCAGTTCTCACAAGTTACCTCAATTTAACAGCCACACAAATATGAAGGTTTGAACAAATTGATATCTACCTACGGTAATTACAATAACGATTAATTAAAGAATAAAAAATTTGAAATGAATGTGTAAATATCAACAGTCTAAGAAATGAACATATGAACAGCCAGACGAATTTTAAAACTTAAATAAATAAATATCAGTGCAATATTAAAACACCAAATACTAAAAACTACATTGAAAATAACTTAAACTGCATTTAATAAGACTTGAAAACATTCAAAACTCAAGGGCATTACAAATTACGCTGATTGATCTATAGTTACTTACATCATAAGAATAATTTTAGAGATTTTAAGACAGTTTGGAAATGTATTTGTTGAAATCATTTTCTTGAATGTTAGTAACAAATAATGATGAATTATTTTAATTGATGCAATAATCGAAATCTCAATTTTCAAAATTTTCAATAATCAAAATTGAAAACTTATCTGTTTAATGATTTTATTTGACATACACGAATAAATATAACTAACTTGATGTCGTAGTGTAATTTGCGCAACTTGTGCACAAGCTTGAAATCTTGAAAATAAAACATCCATGGTGATACAGCTAAAGGAATTATGCCTTCAATCAAATCAACATTGAAATAATATTTTTGTAGTTCAAAATTTTTTAACACTGTATAGCTTGATAAAAAACGATTGAAGTCTAGTCGAAATTCCAAAAGATGATGACAGTTTGTAATTTCTTCAACAATTTTATTTTGGTCATTTGTACAATTAATGTGCGGATTATTATATAACTGTTGGTTGGCTGATGAAAGAACTGATCCATCAAGTAAAAGTGTGTTATCAAAATTGCTGCACTCTCTGCATTTTTCTTGTGAGATGCATGTGTGACTTTTATTATCTTGGTTAGTAAACTGTTCAAAACAACCTTTATCGTTGGTGCTTCGAAAAATATCTATATTGTTACCACGATCAAAATCTTTGTTTGCTATAAGAAAATGATCTGATAATTTATTTTCATTGATGCAATAACCAAAACCTTTCATAGAATTTCCGGTAATGCTGTTATTTAATGAAGCTATGTTAGAAAGATTTGAAGAAAAAAATTCCAAACAAGGATCAAATGTTGAACAAGTGTCTAAGTTTGATCGTACTGTCTTCTTGTCGGCTAAATAAAATATGAAATTTGAATTAAACAATTCAATTCTTTTACAATTCAATTAAACAATACAATTCTTTTACAAAAATCATTTTAAAAACTGGTTCCCCTAACTGGAAAAAGATGGAAAAAGTTGGCATTCCTAAGAGGATTTATTCTAATTACACTAGACAACAAATTTTAACTTTGTGTCTGCCACTTGAGCAAAATTATATTATCCATATAGAGTTTTTGATGCTGATTTCAAATATGTAATCAGAATTTTTGTAGCTCATACAGTTTTTTAGTTATTTGTTTTTTTTATTTTTTTTGAATTTTGCTGTATTTAATGTTCAATTTCAAGTTTTTCATACCAAATTTAAATATCTAAATGTTTTTCTTTGTTCTATTTTAGTATCTTTGTCTTTTATTCTTTGAATCTATTTTGTTTCCCTTAAATTTTATTAGTCATCTCTTCTTTTTATTCTTTTTTTGTTCAATTTTGTTATATAGATACACTATTCCAGAACTATATTATAAATATACAATTCTAAATTAATTTTAAATTTATCCAGTGATAAAAATGAAGAAATCTAACCGTAGTTGTTTGAATGAACCAGACAATTTTTGTTATATTTGTGGGCAATTTACACCTCGTGATCAGCGAAAAAATTTGTCAAACAGAATAAAGATTGCCTACTACCATTACTTTGGAGTAAAGGTGGCGGATCAAGAAAGAACCTGGGCTCCACATATTAATTATTACCACTATATGCCTTACTTTTATTAGATATTGAAAATATCAATATTTTTGGTTATTATTATTATTATATTCATTATTTCATATTATTTTTGTTTTTACTGTTAATAATAAGCAAATAATTTAAAAAAATGAAAGAAATCCACAAAATTACACGAATATTGATTCAAAACAAATTATAGAATTATGTAGTTTCAAATGATTTAAAATCAAAATAAATGAAATAATTTAAATCTTGATTTTAAATCCTTTGAATTCAAATGCTACCCAACACAGCAAGCTGAGTTGATGATCAATATGGGAGCCATTTTTACTAAGGTTCTGAAAAAGTTGGGACAAGTGCTGATGTCCAAAACTTAAAAACGTCAATGAGAAAAAAACAAATCGCAAAATTAAGTTGATAAGGCCTTATCAATTTTTCGAAAAATTCCAGGAACAACCTTTATCTGTGAATATAATTCTGATAACATTATTGAACACATTTTGTTGCAAACTTCATACATGAGGCAACTGTTTGATCTTCATGATAACTGCATGGCGATTGATGCAACATACAAAATAAATAATAGGCAATTGCCACGTTTTATTCCTTTAATAGTTGATGGTAATGAAAACAGTCAGATTGTATCAGTTATCATTACTATCAATGAAGAGACCCGTGTTTTAGAGGGCGTTTTTATTGATTTCAAACAAAACAACAACTGTGAATTAGCAAGGTCGCTCTTAGTTGACGAAGATATGACTGCAATCAATATGCTCAGTTCCATTTTTGAATATGCAAAAGTTAATTTGTGTATGTTCCATTGCATGCAATCATTTCACAGAGTAGTAACGGAGTCTAAAATGGGTATTTCAACAGCTACCAAAATTCAATATTAGAAATTTTGCAAAAAAATATTTCAATCAAAATCTCTTGATAGATACGGACAACTTTATAAAAAAATTAGTAAATATGAATGTTTCAACAATAACAGATTATTATTATAATAAAAACTGGCACAGCTGTTCTGAAATTTTTTGGGTGCCTTTAAAAAATAAATCATTTAAATTGAATATTTCTGGGACCCAAAGACTGGAATGTTTCATCAAAAGGTGAAAAATTTAACCAAACGTATTTCAGAAAATGTTTATGTTGCAGAAAATTTGGTACCATTTCTGAAATCACACCAAAATGAATCTTCTCACAAAGTTTGGATGTTCATCATTCATGATCCAGTTAATAAGCCAAATTGTGATTCACCACTCTTTCAATATTTTAAAATCAGGACAAATTATTCTTATATCCAGCTTGAAAAGCAATTTTACATGAAAAGTGTACTCACAGGACAATTCAATTGAATCGCATGAGGGTAATATTTATGTCACCCCTACATTATGTGAATGTGCATTTTTCAGGACAACTATTCTGCCATGTCGTCACATTTTTTGATTAAAAAATCTTGAGGGATTTTTAGTTTTTGATAAAAATTTGATATCAACTCAATGGTTAATTACTACTTGGAAAAACTCTCGTCATGTTGTACACTCTGTAATATCTTGAGTGAAAACAAAACCCTCACAACCTTGTGGGAAGTACATTTCGACATCCCATCAAAAATTTAATTTAATGGAAACGCTGGATATAAAAATTTTCCAGGTTTTGGCTCAATCAGGTCACAATCTCTTTGAGAAGCGTACCAAACAGCTAGAACTGTGACTGTGAAGTGCAACAAAATCTTCATCATTGCCATGTTCAGAGCTTCTTTTTTCTCAGGTTTTTAATCAAGAGGTTGATTAAAATAGGCAACACTAATCTGTTTAGGCATGCCTTCAAAACATTGTAAATCCATATCTTTTGCTTTGAAACCACAAGAGGAAAGCAAAAACTTATGTTACAAAGGATATTTAGTAGTGGACAAGATTATTATCGGTATTTAGATGACATTTTTCTTTTAGTTAAAAAAGGGTTTAATTATGAGGAGTTTTGTATGTATGTGAATGGGGTGATTGACAATATTGTGGTTGAATGCAGTATGAGTTGTAGGATGATTGATTATCTGGACATCTCGATATATAAATTTTTGATAATGAATAAACTGAGAATACATACTTGTGTACATCTTAAGGATACAGACAATCTTTCTTTGTTACACTATGGCTCGTGCCACCCCAGACATGTGATGCGGGGGATTGTGAGATCTCAGTTTATAAGATACTTTAGATTGTGCAGCGATTTCGACTCTTTCTGGTATATGGCGAGAATGCTTATGAATGTATTGGGTGATAGGGGGTATGGTTTCAAGGAAATGAAGGGTATACTGAGGGAGGTGATCAAACAATACGACATTTATGAATGGTTTAAAAAATATAATGGGGATTGGGATGGGATGAATGTGGTCAAGGAGGATACGATCTATAGAATATTTGG